GTGGTGCTGCGCCGCCGCTCCTCCTCCGACCTGGCCAAGCAGAAATTCGGGACGATGCCGCTGGTGCCCCTGCACGGGGACAGCACTGATGCCACCATGCTGTCTGCCAACCAGACCCTGGTAAAGCCCCTGCAGCTCCCCCTGCCCACAGGTGCTCCTGCACCCATCCTGCTCCTTGTACCCACCCCAGGACCCCGTGCCCACCGCAGGGCTGGAGAGGCTGGCGCCCTGATGGGTGCTGTGTGTGCTGTGTGCCATGCTCGTGTCCGTGCCCGTGTCCGTGGCAGCTCCTGCAGCCTCTGCCCTGCCCTGCCTGCCCAGGCAGCCGTGGCCCTGCTCTGTGCTCTCCGTGCTCACCCCTGTCCGTCTCCTCTGTTTCTAGCGCCGCCTGCACACGCGAAGGACTTTGTCCATGTTCTTTGTAAGTACCTGCACACCTGGAGCACCTGCTGCTGGCTTTGCACTGTGCCAGGGCTCACCTGCAGCATTCCGCGGGCACTCGGAGATGTGCCCACCTTGTGTGGCAGATGAGGGGGTGGCCACTGCTCTGCGTGTTCCATGTGGGTCCCTGCATGGTCCCGGGATGGACGAGCAGAGCACACCAGTCCAGCCCAGTTCCCAGAGCCTCTCCCATTGGGCACACAGTGCCCATAGGGTATCAGTGGGAGGAAAGTGAGGAAAGAGGTTTAGGTGTGCCTTGTCATCAGGTTATTTCCAAAAAGGCCACTGGGCTGAGCCTCATCTCTCCTTTGAGTTCTGCATGGGATCCACCTGCCACCCCCCGACCCTGGAACCAAGGGGTGCTGGGATGGTGGCATGGACCATGCCCAGGCAGGGACCAAAACTCCCCTTCCTCAGCTGTGGGGAAGAAAGGGCAGCAGTGCCCGAGCTAAGGAACCTGGTGGAGGGTGGGTCCCCTGCAGGTATCAGCCCCATGGGGAGGGACAGGGATCCCCAGGCAGTGCAGGGAGGGCAGGGTGAGGGGGGACAGAGGGGTACAGCTGAGCTGTGTGGGCAGTGCTCCTCACCCTGCCCCCTGTCCTCCCCAGCCCATGAAGGTCCACCAGGACTCCCTGGAGGAGCAGCAGGAGAAGGAGGCAGACACTGATCCTGTCTATGAGGAAGTGGGGAACTTCCCCGAGCTGGCGGCGCTGGACCTGGGGCAGGGGCTGCTGGCAGAGCTGGCAGCCGTGCCCCGCGTGGACAGGTCCAAGAAGCCATCGCCGTTCCCTGAGGAGCCCCCAGGCACCGCCCTGCGCTCCTCACTGCCTGCCAGCCCAGCCCAGAGGGTGACGGGGCCCTCTGTCACCAAAGCCGTGTCCCTCGAAAGGGGCTTGAACCTGGAGAGCAGCAAAGCCCCGAGCCCGGGGCTCAGACCCACCAAAACGTCCTCTCTGGAGAGGAACATGGAGCCTTCCCTGGCTCTGGGCAGGGACTGGGAGCAGGCAGCCACACCGGGGAGCAGCCCCACCACAGAGACCTCCCTGGAGCTGCTCAGGAAGAGGAGCCTGCAGCCTCCCTCTCCCATCAGTGACAAACTGATGCAGGAGCTCAGCAGTGTCATCCTCAGAAAGAGCGATGGCCAACCCCCGGGTCCAGGCCAGCCGGTGACGTGACCCGCTGTGCCAAGGGGGTGGCCACCAACCCGGGGTCAAGCTGTGCCCGGTGGCAGCGATGATGGGTACCCCATGGCAGAGAGGATGGGTACCCCACACTCCCACATCGTGGAACCCCCACCCTGCTCCTCCTCCTCATCCCAGAGCCAGGCTGGGATCAGGACCGAAGGGACAAGTGGTGACCAGGATGTTGGGCCGTGGTACCTCCTCAGGGAGGGCTGGGACTGCTGCCACCCACTGTGCCCTTGCCCATGGGTGGCACGTCTGTCATGGAGCCCAGCACTGAGGGACACAAGTAAAGGGGGAAACAAAGCAGGAACATGGTGCCCACATGTTTGGCAGCACCGTGCCAGGCAGGGGGCATGGGGTGCCTGCCAGCATGGGGGCACACAGCGTGTCCCCTCCAGCTCTGGGCCTGCAGGGCAGGGCCAGGACACCCAAGCCATCTCCCTTTCCCTGCTTGCATCCCCTGGGAAACAAAGCAGGAACATGGTGCCCACATGTTTGGCAGCACCGTGCCAGGCAGGGGGCATGGGGTGCCTGCCAGCACGGGGGCACACAGCGTGTCCCCTCCAGCTCTGGGCCTGCAGGGCAGGGCCAGGACACCCAAGCCATCTCCCTTTCCCTGCTTGCATCCCCTGGGGCATAGTCTGGGGGGAAAGGGGGAGCAGCAGGAGCAGGGCTGGCCGTGTGTGCCTGGTGTTAGTCCTGGCGATGGAGGGCAGGGTGTTTGTACCTTTCCTGCCACCAGCAGGGAGAAATAAAGGTTTATTTGTACTCTGGAGGGTTTGGTCACTGCAGGGGGAGCGGTGAGGGATGCCAGGGTCTGGCAGGGGGGGAGGTTGGGTGCCAGGCGCCCAGCTGAGGGTCCCTTGGGACTGGGCAGTGCTGGTGTCATCAGGGAGGGAAAACCGAGGCAAAATCCTTGTGAGCCTCAGATCCAGGGGGGATTTTTTACCCAAGTCTATTGTCAGCCCTTCATGGTGGGCATGCTTCAGACTCCCTCATCCCCTGGGCAGGGACACACAGCCTGGCAGCCCTGGCTCTGCTCACTGGACCTCAGGGGCAGGGCTGTTTTCTCCGTGGACCTCCCCGACGAGGCCTCGAGCCCCCGCAGGCAGCGGCCTCCTGCATCCCGGAGCCAGCCCCGAAAATCCCGGGACACGTAGAAGTAGATGAAGGGATCAAAGCAGTTGTTGCAGGCGCTGAGCACCAGGGCCAGGGCATAGGAGATGTAGGTGCCGTTGTTGCAGCCCGTGGGCTCCAGCAGGTGGTGGATGAAGAGCAGCACGTTGCTGGGCGTGAAGCAGAGGATGAAGACCAGCAGGACCAGGGCCAGGACACGGATCACCTGCCCGTGGCTCCCTCCCTTGGCCAGCAGCCGGGCCAGGATGCAGCTGTACGAGATGATCATGAGCACGAAGGGCAGCCCAAAGCCCAGCCCCACCAGGAACAGGAAATAGTAGCCAAAGAACCTTTGGGTTTCCTTTTCTAGCACATCGTGGCACGTCGTGATGTTCAGGCTGGAGATACTGTGTGTGTGGGAGCGCAGGAGCAGAGGGCTCATGCCCAGCCCCACCAGCAACCAGATGCCCACAGAGATGCCTACTTTGCCCTTTGTCCAGCTGGAGCTCTTCCACAGGAAGGGGTGTGCCACGGAGATGTAGCGCTCCAGGCCGATGCAGGTGAGGAAGAAGATGGAGCTGTACATGTTCCCGTAGAAGAAGGCCATCATGGCGCGGCACAGGTAGTCCCCAAAGGGCCAGTGGTTGCCCAGGAGGTGGTAGGAGATCTTGAAGGGCAGCAGGAGGACAAAGAGCAGGTCAGCCCCGGCCAGGTTGAGCAGGAAGACGGCGCTGGAGCATCTCCTGAAGTTGGTGGCCAGGACCCAGCAGGCCAGAGCGTTGGCTGGCAGCCCCACCAGCAGCACCACGGAGTAGAGGGCGGGCAGGAGACGGGTGCTGAGGGTGCTGCTGAGAAAATCTTCCTCGGAGGCCTGGGAGCACACGTTCTTCTCCTGGGGAGTGAGGGGCAGCAGGGCTCGCCCTTTCTTGTTGGGCACTGCAGGGACACAAGGGGACGCAAGGGGACACAAGGGGACACAAGGCGTCAGGCTGAGCCGAGGGCAGGAGCTGTCATCCCTCCCTGCAGAGCCAGCACTGCACACAGGAGGCGGCATCTCCCTGTCCCACAGCAGCACCCTGCTGTCCCCGCCCTGCAGAGCTGTNATAAATAAAGTAAAAAACAATAACTGGGAGGCATTAGGTCTGCGGAGTAATAAAGCCCCGTGCTTTCCTCTGGGCCCTGCAGAGCTGTGCCCCGTTCTCTGCCAGCCACCACCGCAGCGGTGCCAGCCCAACGCAGAGCCTGGATGGGCTCTGCTCCCTCAGCCCTGGTGCTGCTGGTGTCCCTTGTCCTACCCAGCCTGGCACAATGGGATCAGGAGGGCAGCACAGGGCTGGGACAGCCCCAGCCGTGTCCCCAGCTCAGCTCCCCACCACAGACAGAGACATCTCCTCATCTTCCTGTGGTCAGGGGATTTTCACTGTGTGCAAAGAACTAAAGTGAAGAACAGGAAGGTCCCAAGGCACCAGAGAAACAACCCAGGATCAAATCCCTTTTCTGGCTTGCTCAAAAAAGAAACCAGACAGGCTCTGCACGTCATCCCCAGCTGCAGAATTTCTATCCTGATGGTCCCCAGAACACCCTACCCCGGGGGGCTTTGGTTACATCCAACACAACTCCCACAACCTCTGCCCCTCTCCACATCCAGGGGATGGAAAATTCAGGTTACCAGAGCAGCAATCTGAATTTTGCTGCCAAAAGGGGAAATGCTGGCTGGGTTTCAGGTCTTCACTCAGATTCTCAGTGTGAACACAGAGGGAAGGCAGCAAGCAGGGCCCCAAATTCTCCCCATGTCACCCAGCCATCGCCTCCAAGTGTCATGGGACATGATGTTGGGGTGTCCCAGTGAGGCGTCCCTGCCCTACCCCATCACCCCCAGTCCCACCGAGGCACTCACCTGAGGGGGGCTGGGCAGCAGAGCCAAGGCAGGCACAGCTGAGCAGGAGGGTGACACAGGCAGCAGCAGAGACAGGTGACAGCACCCGCCAGGACATCTCTGCGGAGTGCCCGCTGTACCAGCCGGGTCTGCACCAATGGCACAGGCTGGTGACACGGCGGGGCTGGTGACACAGCAGGGCTGGTGACACGGCGGGGCTGGCACTGTCCCTTTCTCTGCTGACACCCCCCTCCGTGTCTCCACCACGTCACGGCAGCTTCCTGCCCACATCCCTGCAGTGTGACAGCCAGACTGAGGCGTGGGGTCACCGCCAGTTGTCACCACAGCGAGCACCTGGGGCACGCCACGGAGGGGGAAATTTCCAGCTGTGTCACACGACCCACAGACCGTGTGTGGGGAGGTAGAGCTCTGCTCCAGCAGAGGCAGCTGGAGCAGCCAGGAGCAGCACAGTGGGGAGATGGAGCTGTTTGTGCTCTGTGCATGGGACAGGAAGGTGGCAGTGGGTCCCCAGCCTGGTGACATGTGGCCCTGTCCCACTGCAGCACTCCAGAGCTCTGGGCATTCTGCCTGCCCAGCCCTGCCAGGGCCACACACAGCCAGGATCCATCACTGGGACCAGGCTGACATGCTGGTGTCACAGCTTGGTGTAGTTGATGCCACCCTGCCTTGTCCCCTTCCTGTCACCAAAGTGGCTGGGTGACCTCCAGTCCATTTTTCCAGCTAAGAAAGGGAATACCAGAGCCAGTGACACTTCCCCAGCCCAGCCTTGTGCATTGTCACACGCCAGGGAACCAGGACATGTGCAGCCAACCCCAGAAATGTCATGGGGACGAATGGGACAGTGAGGAGAGCCACGAGCTGTGCGGGAACAGAGAAATCCAGACAGAAAGAGAAGTGAGAGATGAAAGGAGTGGGAGAGGGCTGGGAGGAGGACAGGGGGACAGACAGGGACTGGCTGGGGTCCCTCATGATTCCAGGTGGTCCCCACTGAATGCCACTGCTCAGCTCTGTGCCCCTGTCCCCACAGCAGGGTCCTGCCAAGCCAGGGGCTCCGTGTCCTCCATGTGATGTGAGACCCCACATGTCCCTGTGCTGGGGCTGTCCCCTCAGTGTCCCACATGTCCCCACATCCCAGGGCCAGTGCCCCAGCCCCTCATGTGTCACCACATCCTGTGCGTCCTCATGCACAAGGACTCGGTCCCCAGTGATCCCAGTGCTGTGATCCCCATGTCCCCATGTCCCCATGTCCCCCTGCCCAAAGACAGCGCTCCCCATCCCCCTTGTCCCTGTGATGCTGCACCCACACATCCCTATCTCTCACAGCCTTGTGTCCCCATGTATGTCCCTGTTCTCCTGTCTCCCATGTCCACATGTCCCCACATCCCTGTGTCACATATCCCTGTGTTCCCATGTCCCTGTCTTCTCATGTCCCTGTGTCCCTGTCTCCCATGTCCCCATGTCCTCATGTCACATATCCCCGTGTCCCCATGTCCCTGTCTTCTCATGTCTCTACATCCCCATGTCCCTGTCTCTCATATTGCTGCATTGCCACGTCCCTGTCTCCTTATCCACATGACCCCATGTCCCTGTGTCGCATATCCCTGTGTCTCAATGTTCCTGTTTCCCATGTCCCCATGTCTGCATGTCCCTGCCTCTCATATCCCTGTGTTCCCAGGTCCCTGTCTCCTGACCAACATGTCCCCATGTCCCTATGTCACATCCCCATGTCCCTCCCTCTCATATCCCTGTGTTCTCATGTCCCTGTCTCCCCGTGTCCCCTGTCCCCTGTCTCCTTGTCCCCGTGTCCC